TCTCAAAAGACTCATCGTAGCCCAGTTCCTCTTAGTATCTACTATATTTAGGTATTTAGGTAATGTTAGCTCTTTCATTAATCGATAATATGTATTGTCATTCAATTTGACTAGCATCTCTGAATAGTCTAACCTATTCATGATGATAATGGCTTCATCTTTGTTAAGTTTTCTAGCAGTCAAGTTATTGCCATATAAGTAGTAAGAAGCAGTACTCAGAATACAATAATTCTTTTATGTAACTACCAATGTATGTATTTACAATGACCGTCATATAAAAGACACCTCAGCTGCAAAGACAAAAATAAAGTAATATCCAGCGAAGAATGACAACCCTAGTTCTCTTGAGCGAAATCCATCACTAGCCGGCGTCCGAAAAAATGGGTGTCTCCAGAGAAGGCCTCCATTGCAGCCTATGGAAAGAAAAGCAGCAAGTAAATACACACAAAATGAAAGGTACTCCGAATAACACTAGTTCAAACGTTTAAATTTTTAATATAATGGCAAAGTACTTACAGGCCATAACAAACCAGTTAGGCTACGAAAATAAAATGATCATCCTTACAACAAATCTAGATTGAACTAAAAAAGAGCAACAAAAAGAACATTAAAAATTTTGGTTTTACAATTTACAAATGACGTCCTGACCATTTTTATGCCAGAAATAGACAGGTAACAATGATTAGATTACGTGATACTTTCTTTCTATATTACACAACATGGACACGCTCAAAAATTAGCCTCAGAATGAAGCCGACGATTGACAGGAAGAAAGGGGCAGATAATCCATATTCTTGTTTAACCCCCTTGACTATTATCTGACCTCCAGACTTAACTCATTCATATATTCAAATGTTTTATCAATCAGATTTATCCCCTCGGATAAACGTGGATCTACCATTAGCTTTTCAACGCCCTCATCCAAAATAAATGCAACCTTCCGACATCAACTAAAGCAGGACTTCAAATCCTCAAAAATATCTAGTAGGAAAGACTCGTAGCTAAATTTAGTTCTTCGCTGTCCCATCCCCATCTAGATAGCGGCGTCTGTTAGCTCGCCACACTCGTACCACGTATTCATGGTTATATAATGGAAACCTGTCTCAACGGATTACCCATTGAAAGTCTCGATATCACAGAAAATACAAGTTCATAAGTTACATAATCACAATCTTCACCAAAACCACCCACCCAAACAGATCCTCATAGAGATGGCATCAAAAATTTTCCCTTATCAGTGCTTCACATCTGTATCATGACAAGGTTGGTCGGACTTCCGAAGAAGGAAAAACTGCGTAACCAAAATACTAAAACAAGGTAAGGCCCTACGACGATGACGTATACAAGTATATTGACTTCCTATCACCAAAAATAATATTGATTGGGCCGACTTCAAATCAAAGTAGTTTTGTCGCATACAGCCCTACGCAGGAAGCTTATCCCATCCTTCATTCTTACACTCCTATATACCCCCAGCAAACTTGCATGACTGGCAACTTATCTGCTTTACCACTATATATCTTTGTAAACCTGAATCTATACAGCTCCCATTTCACAATCCGATCTCTGATCGTGTATAGTTCCTAGGACAATAGGAAATTGTCTGCTAGCATGATAGCAATTGAGAGTGTACAGGCCCTAAGTTTTATCATTTAACCGAAGATGCTTTAAGAAGTTAGTTATAATGTAACCGAACTAATTTCAACCATAGTTCCAAAGGTTATTTATACATTACCAAAATACTGACAAGAGACAAAAATTTCAAGGTAAGCCGATGGTAATTATATTCAATGATTTGATATCAAGATAAGCGAAAAACAAGGATTTCTATAAAAATATATTAAATAGGACTATTTCAAAAAGTAAAATTAAATGTCTGACAGTGTGTTTTAATAGAAAGTGAAAAAAAAACAAATAAGTATATCACGATTTTAGAGCCTGCGAAATGTAGAAAGCAGAAACTTATTTATATATGCACATGGTGTGGATGAGACCTTGCAGTCTACCTCGCATAAGGAGACCTTTTGGGAGACATTATTAAGCGGAATTTTATGGCAGCATGAGGACTACTTATTTCATTGAAGAAAATTTTGCACCGAAACACAGCATAGAAAATAAGAATGTGCCTTGGCTAAAGGAAATTTCTTTCAGCTGCTATCAGAAACTCGACCAATCTCACGTACATATGGAGTTCCAAGGCTTATCAACGACAGAATTTACTACTGCATCATTAAAAGTGATTAATTTATCTTCATATTTAGCCTGTTGCCCGAAGAAGGCCCAAAAAGATTAATTAAAAGAAAGTATATAGCAATGCAAATTAAGATAAGTTTCGAATACAAATCTTTAAATTGTTAACCTAAAAGTCAATCAGCTTATATAAATTGCTCACCTTTGCTTGAGCTGCACTCAAGAACTCAACGAATGCAAAACCACGATGACCTCCAGTGGCTTTCTTGGGAAGACGAACTTCAACAAGCCCATCGACAGGCTCAAACAATTTATGAATCTCTTCCCGTGATGCCTATGGATGATAAAAAAAAGATGAATTCAGAAAAAAAAGCATATGCATATTGTGATAAAACGGAATATGATAGGCCTAAGAGAAAAATATAAATATACTTTGGAAACACCAAAACTCAAAGATGGGGAAATATAAAAATAAATTTTCTGCCTACTAAAGATGATAATTATTAACAAATTCCATAACGATACAAACTTCCTAAACATAGGAACATAAGTATTAAGTGTAGTCCAATGATATATAAGGCTAAATTAAACCAATTATTACCGCATTTTTCTATAGTTTAACATTTACTTGTAAATATTCAGAAAAGTTCCATCTTCTTCAACTTAGCTAGATAGCTATGTATAGAAATAGATATTGTATAACAAAAAGGATATAAGGATAAACACTAAAGCTAATCAGCTCGCCTAAGGTTCTTATTCTAAGGAACCTTAACGCAAATGATGACAATGATAGATAAACTATCATATATATTCAGCAAAAGCTTTATGAAATATAAAAGAAACTAATTTAGTAGCCTTAATTTAAATCAGTTAATAAAAAAGTGAATAAGGGCAAATCATAGTAGAAGTTAATAAGTAAGTAACCTGAAAAGGAACGTTTCTAACGATAAGTATTCGAGCATTCATATTGTGGTGCGGAATGTGAGTCGGTCTTTGTTTAGCGACAAACTGTTGTAGGTTAGGGATAGTGAGTGACGTGTAGTTTGGTCTTCCTGTATCACTTGAATCTCCGGCTTTTGAACCAGACGATAAATTTTCTTTTTTGTCTTGCAAGTTGGAGTTAAGCGACTTACTAGTGGTGAATTGAGGCGCTTCGGAGAATTTATGCTTTTTTTTAGGTAAAGATGAAGAAGATATATCACCAGAGGAACTATTGGCTGATAGAGATGTGGACGAAAGGCTCCGTTTTATAAATTTAGTTGATGGAGGAATTGCTGATTCATTTGACTCATGTGTGACGGTCATATGTTCCGAAGAGAGCGCAATACTGTTAAAATGTGCATATACAGTAAATATATGAAAATGTAAAGCATATTTAACCTTAAAAGAAAAAAATAAAACGTTCTCGAAATCGAGAGATTAATATTAAGTATATTTTACAACCATATGCTGGGGAAATTCAAAAATTCAAGAAGCCATATTATTTTTGCAAGGATGGTGTTCTAAAGAAAATCGGCAATCTAAATGAAGAATTTCGCAAAGCAAGTATGTTCCAGACTAAGAGAAATTTAGCATTAACAAAACGAGAATAAAAAGATCTTAAGTATATCATGTCTTTAGTTTACGAGACAAACCAGTCTTAAACTAGGATTATACATAAATAATAGATGTAAGTGGATTCAGGAGAACAGATCCAGTCCAATATTATTTACGAGAAAGAATGTTGAATGGGAGCATGTGAAATACAAGAATAAATCAACTTAAGAGATGTAGAAGTGGCTTGACTTCGTTATCGCAACTTGGTCTTGTTGTCAGGGGACTTAGTAGAACGCACCTAGTCCGATTTCACTCGGTTCCAGTCCTAGTGTACGCTTCATTCCAAGTGCTATTTATCAAGGCCCTAGAAGCACGTACACTGCCGCCTCACCAAGCATAACGCCTAGGCTCTGATTGCAGATATCAGGCATTCCATTCACGAGTCGTTACATTAATTAAACCCGTGTAACCTGAGCAAACTGTAGACTCCTATCTCTGGTCGCATGCTGAATCTTAAGTGGATTTCTAGTACATTTTGGCCATAACGTCGAATTTCTGTGACGGTTTGCTTATCAATCCGCCAAGCTCCCTTACTGCCAGGCCCCAAAGTTGTATTGGTTTATGCGAAACGGACATCACTCATTGACAACGTCTTCGCTTGATTGCCATTTTCCTTCGGTTAGCGATAGATCCCTGAATCAGGTGTCTCCTTTTTGCAGGTCTTGCTCTATTCTTGTTTTCCCCGAGCAGTAGGCAAAGTTATCGCTAACTCTATCTTCCTCCAATATCCTGTTCATTAGATTTTAATCCCCAAGAATGTAAATGGCCTCTAATCTTCCGCTTCTTTGTGTTTTAACCGTATGAGGCCCTTTGTTCTGTTGCATTTTTTGTTTCCCATTAAAGCGAATCATTTCAACATCCAAGAATGGAGGGCTTCTTAGGGAGAAAAATCTAATGAACAGGAGACTGGAGAAGGATAGAGTTAGCGATAACTTTGCCTACTGCTTAAGCAGACTCAGGTAAGACAATAATAGAGCAAAACCAGCAAAAAGGAGACGTATGATTCAGGGATCGCTAACCGGAGGAAAAGGGATCGCGATGAGGAAAGTGGAGGGCGAGGAGTGGAATGTAAACAAGTGAGATGTGATAGGGCGGGAGTTTTATAAGAGGGTAGAGTAGATAGATAGGCCAGGGCAGAACGAGTAATGAGTGTAACCGTTTTCGGCAGAACGTTGGTGGAAAGATTGACTTCACTTGTTTCCAACGGGCTCGTAGCTTGGTGCGGTAAATGGCAGCACTCACTGATAATGCCGGCGAAACGTTTTTATAATGTACCAATCCTACTGTCTGATGCTTGGAATCATGGTAACTACTATGGCACAGGACTTCGGACTAGGTGCGTTCTACTAAGTCGCCCTGACAACAAGACCAAGTTGCAACGAGATCAAATCACTTCTATAAAGCGAAAGGAGACTGCGACCATACCGGGGGCTACACCATCTCGCTCAAGAGATGTAGTTAGCCCTTTCACTAGCACAATGATTTATTCATTTAACAATGTCGATTATTGCCAATGAAATAGTTCAATGTCCTGGAATACAGATACTGGATCAAAGATAGATATATTATTCGATTTCTGCTTAACATAAACGACCGGCTTACAAGTAGACTAGTAAAAATAATTAGTCACAGTGTTCAACCTTGATATTGTTGTGACATTGTCTTAGGGAGTGGTGAATATAAAGTTGAACCCCGAGACTTATCACTACTATTGAAATTTTTCCGTAAAAATTCTTCGTTAATGTACAGAAATAATCTACACATTTTTAATTCGAATTAACGGACTCACTTTTTGTTGTGTGAAAAACATTATATAACAATCAAAAGCTAAGTAGTCAACCATCTTTTTTTACCATTATACTATATAATACAGCTAGAGATAAGTCAAATATAAAATGAAATGAATTCGAGATGTTGAAGGGTTGCGAGTTGGAGTATAACTTACGCTTCTTCAAACGCCAATTTTGCCTCGGATAACTCCATATAATTAGTAGGGAGAGAGGTTTGCTCTTTAGAATCTGCCACAGTTTCGTCAAGCAATCCCTCAGGAGCCCATTGCAATAATATAACGTTGTCCCTAAACTGTAAAAAATCGCCTTATTTAATATTGGAATAATAAGTAGTAAATGTATTATTTGCAAATTAAACTCAAATATCCAAAGATATCACTGTGCGTAGAATACAGACTCGTGGTAAAAATATGTATATAGGGAAATGCTCTGAAAGGGGTTGATTGATTTTCACATTGGGATAATACAAGTAAAACATTTTAGATGTATTCGCCCTATTTCGTTTAAGGTGATAAAGGACTGGTAGTAGAATTTTCCCACAATGATATGAGTAGAGCTGACG